TAATGCCACCCTACCAGAAGAATATTTACTCGTTTGGCATCTGCAACCTAGCAGGAAAATTAAACAACTCACTAAGAGGGATGCCTCCCTGAAAGAGGGAGGTCTGTCTCAGGAGCGTGTGTCAGTCCTCATGCTTTGTGAAGAGCATCTTGTTTTCTTTCCTTGATGAGCCAGAGAACAGCGTAATCTGCCTGGTAGCTGTATGAAAAGCTTATCTAGTTCATTTTGTATTCATCTGAAGTTGATCCGCTTAATTATTTCTTCCATTAAACAGCCCAGTGCTGCCTTTTCCTGTTGGAATAAGCGTCTGTATTACAGGAGGAAGATTTTATGCTCAGAGGAGCTGGGATTAGAAGAACAATCACTCTGCTATCAGAGATTTGTGTTTGGAGGCCGATTGCTTTGGAGCACATAGGAAAATTTCTGCGTTGATGCGCATCTGTGTTGTGACATAATTTCAAGCTCTGGCATGGCAGCAGATATTCTAGTCCACAGAATGAGAACTGCTGGTTTGGGATAAAGAAGACATGTAGCGCTATTAAAAATCACAAGGAAGCACACGGCAAAGTAGGCCAATGCAACTGCTTATAGCTGACTTCATGGGCTGTGGTGTGCAGCGCTCTCTTGAAACAGAGCATTTTGGGGCAGAGGAGGGATTGATGCATTCTTTTCTGTTACTGCAGCGAATTCCATTAGACCATAATAAAACGGAGAATAAGGGAAAGGAAAGGCTTTGAGATCTCTGGCTCTCCAATGTACCGAGATACAAGCACTCTTCACAAGTATGGCAAACTTGTCACGGGTAGTTGTGCGGAGCTTCCCTCTCTCCAGTGCTACCTTGGTTTTTCTCTCCTGCGCTCTACTCTCCGTTCATCTGCACCTCGTGAAATTGCCTAGCATTTGTCTGCTTTGCAGTTATGATCATCTGAAACAAGGCACTCACAGATTAAATGACTGAGAACTCGCTAGAGTTGATGCAGTTTCTGTTTGCAACCACAAACTGCCCAGTGGTGCTCAGAACTTTGCTAAATGTTACTTCAAAAATGCACGAGTCCTGCCCAGTACTGCTTTGGAGCACAGCCACGTCAGTATTTACTTCAGCAGCTTCGCTGAGCAGCCAGTTGGATTCAGCTTCTGCTGTCAGTCTGGAGATATCCTAGCTGCACAGACAAGGAAATGTGCTGAAAGCTGGTTTCTTATGTGACACTCAGAAGGTTTCCCATCATTTTTACTTGGCCATAACCTTTGACACTTCGGAAATATTAATTAGCGAGCCGAGTTCTCCATACTTTTTTTTCCAAGACTGTTATCTCAAAATTCAGATCAGCCAAAATTGGATCGTGTCTCCTTCTGTGACTCGGTTGCTTCAGAAAGTTCTCTGTTAACTGAAAACCCAGTGACAAGTCAGCTTATGAGTTTTGTTTGGATAAATACGTTTATGCTTCCTGTGAGAATTCATATTAGTAGGCACTAATAAATGCTTCCTGGTTCAGGCCTGAAGCCTTTAACTTCAGACACTACAGAGAACCTGAGTACATGCTGTATCCGTTTTGGAGGAAAATGAGTAAAAAACCAAATGACATAAAACTTATCTTTTGTACACTTAAAGCACTGACTAGGAGCACCTCATATCACCGCAACTCCACTGTGAAGGCACATTCAAGGTCCAGGTGATTATAAACTGGAAACACTGAACTTGGTTGTGACACTCAATGCTGTTGAAAGCCAGGTTTCATTTGGGGTGTCTGTGACTTGCTTTGTCAATTCTTACTTTTTCCTTGTGATTGGAGTTGAAATTGCAGTGATGAAATTGCTCAGAGAAACCTATGAACTATGAAAAGAGATTTCATGGGTTCAGGGCATTTAGTTCAAGGAGTGGGAGCTCAAGTGATTTTTTGTTCTCTGCCTTCTGTGGCTGTGAATGACACGGAGTGGGCTTGGAAAGCACAAGCAATGAATAATTGGCTGGTATCCAGCCAGAAACTTTGAGTTCTTTGATCATGGTGCAGATTACTCAGCCTCTGGCCTGTTGTCCATCCATAGAATCATAGAATCACAAGGTTGGAAACAACCTGCAAGATCATCTAGTGCACCTGTCCTCCCACTACCATCGCTACCACAAGCTATTAAACCATATCTCGTAGCTCCTCATCCAGACGCCTCTTGAACACTGCCAGGGACGGCAACTCCACCACCACCTCCCTGGGCAGCCATTCCAGTGCCTGACCACTCTCTGAGAGAAAAAGTTCTTCCTTATATCTAATCCAAACCTCCTCTGGTTCAACTTGTGGCCATTTCCTCTGGTCCTGTTTGTTGCCTGAGAGAAGAGGCCAAACCCTCCTCATCACAACCTCCCTTATGGTCAGTAATTACAAACTCTAACATTCAACATATGGTTAAAAGGAGTGGCCCTCTGCTGCATGCAATGCCCTTCCAGGACAACAGTTAATTAGGGCAGCATTCACTGGTGATCTTCAGCAGAACGCCTGCCCTGAATGGGCAAAATCTGCAGCTGAGACAAGAGTAAACTCATCAAAACTAGGGATGACTGCAAGTACAAAAACACATAACTGATGGCAACAAATGGAGAGGTAATCCAGTTTTCACAAATGTGCATAGGAAGGAGAGATTGCATCTGCTTTTAGACACAGCAGATTACATTTACTGCAGTTATCTCTAGAAAAAGACATGGGTATTTTCTTGGATAATGCACTTAGTATATGCTCAGTGCTTTTGAGAATATATGTCTTTGTTTATTATGAATGACATCCAAGCAATTTCATGGTCTTTCCTCTACTAGGCTGTGAGAAATTTCCTGCCATCACCTGCATTACAAACATCTCAGCACCTTCAAATTGCTACCATTTAAAAATGAAACAAGATACTTTAATTAGAGGAGAAAGAAAAAGAATTTACCACTCCATCACCCAGCTGTCCAGAGTTCATTCTGCAGTGAGCTAGAATTCCAGGTTAATGATGGGCTTATGGTGCTACAGGATCAAAACCACACTTGAGTAAATACATTAATATTCCTTTCAATTGATACATTCAACCATCCTGGACACAGTGCAAGCAATAGAACACCACAGCTGTCCAGCATGATCACTGGACTCCTCAGATTGTACTTGACAGATGTCTCCAACAGTGGCCTTTGACAGCTTCTCTGTCTTTCCTCCTCTTTATCCCCAGCATGGAGCAGTACTCAATTTGGTGTTAGAGATGAAAGAGTTGCTCCCTTACAGAGAGCTTACAGACGTGAATAATTCATTTAGCTTTCTGAAGTCAGTTTTCCCCCAAAGAGACTCTGGTATATCAGAGTTCTCCTATGTTTTATAAATCTCTTCTTGTGCTGCAGTGAAGCCCTTCTTCACTGTAGCACAAGAGCAGCAGCAGTACTCCTACTGCCTGGTACTTGGTTTCCAAGAACACTGTGTTTCACAGCAACTCTTCCAAATTCTCTTTTCCCTCTCTTCTCCAATGCTTGGAGAAGCAAGTCAACCCCACTGCTATTGGCAGCACTAACATAAGTATCTGTGCAGCATTTATTGAGGCTAGTAGGAAGTTTCCTCTTGCTTAGATGTGAAAACGTAAACTTATGGCATGAACATCTCTGAGCTTTAAAAATATGACTTCAGCAACTATAACAGCTGCAGACCATTTTATCATTTAGTAATTTCTAAGAAAAACCAGAGTGAAAAGGATGCCTGTTTGTTGTGGAAGTTATACTTGCCTTATACAATCACACTTTAGAGATATCCTTTTTCTATTGTAAATGAGGAAAAAGTCATGCTAAAAGCAACGCTGCCAAAGCACTAGAAATCATTACACTACTAAACAATTCCTGCTGTTAATATCTCCATTAACAGAACACAATTTAACTTACTTCAGTTCTTCAAAAGAACTTCTACAGAAGATGTTGCTGTACACATTATTTCTAGAACCATTATTACCAGTCTTTAAACAGTAGGCTGAACATCTATGCCAGTTTGAACTTTCCCAGATCATTCTGGCCTCTGAGATTTGGTCAAGCCATCCCAATACAGAGACACAAACATCAGGTTAAACGTGGTGGCTACTTCTCCCTACATCAACCAGCCGCCCTGCCTACAAGTCCTAAAAGGGAAGCAGCACCTTACAGCTTATTTCTTGTGATAACCACGTGTGATGGAAGAAGGCTGTGCCACCCCTACGTTTCCACAGCTGCCTCCTCAGGGGGCAGGAGGCTCTCACGCCTGCCTCCGGTGCTATGCCTGCCTCTCAAGCCATGTCCAAGTCTAAGGTGCCCGAGATTTGTCACCAGTGCTTTAACTCTTTTGAACCCACCACACCAAACAGCTGGAGCGTACCATTTGCTACAGGGCCATGACGTTATAAAGGTTCTCCCCTCCACTAGGTTCCCGAGAGTGAGGGCACACATTACGTATAGAAAAATAATTTCAAGACAACTAGTTGAGCGAATGTAATTCTTTCTGAAAAGGAGTAGGCAGCGGTGCACAAAACCTCACGGTGTTTAACTGTAAATGAAGACCAAACGGAGACCAGCAAAGAGGGGCCTGGGGCCTGGCTGGGGATGAAGAGGAGGAGGAAGACTTCCCCGAGGTTTGCCGCCTGTCGAGCCTCTCCCCGGCTTCCCGGCCCGGTCGCGCCGCCCCAGCGGAAAGGCGCAGCCCACCGGCAGAGGCGCCGGCAGCGGCGGGCAGGGCAGCGGCTGGACGGGCGCTCCCCGCCGGGGAGGGCTGCCGAGGCGCGGCGGGGCGCACGCCCGCCCTCCCGGCTCCCGCGTTCAACTGGTGGGACCCTCCTCCTCTCCATCATTCTCCTCCGCCACCGAAGCGCGGCGCGGCCGGCGGGCAGCGGCGCCGGGTCGGCCCCCGGCGGCGCGGCTAGCGGCGGGGGGTGCGGCAGGCGGCCGGCGGCGCTGGCGGAGGATGCGGGCGGCGGCCCGGTGGCGCGGGGGGCTGCTGGCGGGCGGCGGGCAGCGGCGCGGCGCCTGACCGCACAGCTCCGCTCCGCTCCCGAGGATGCTTGGGGGGCGATGCCCGGCGACAGGGAGGACGAGATCTGCCAGAAAGCGCTGCAGCTGCTGGCCGAGCTGTGCTCCGTCGGCGCGGTGGAGAACGAGAATTGCCGGGATTTTATCTACTACCTGCGGGACAGAGCCCGGCCCCGCCTCACCGACTCAGGTATGGCCGGCGGCGCGGCTCGGCGGGCCGGGCGCGGCGGCCGGCGCCGTTCCCGGCTGCGGGCGGAGGGCGAGTTCCGCAGGCGGAGGCCGGGAACGGTGGAGCGAGGCCTGCTGGCCCGCGGGGATGCCGGCGGCGGGAGCGGGAGCTCCCCGCAGCCCCGGCGCTGGGTGCATCCCCGGAAGGCGGGCGAAGCTCCCCGATCGCTCTCGATCCCGCTCGCCTAGCGAGCGTCCGCGGTGCAGCTCGGCGCCGGCTGCCTGCGAGCTGCGGGCAGGGTCGCGGGCAACTTTCCTGGCCGGCAGGCGGCGGCTGGCCCGCGGCCTCGGAGGACGGCCCGGCTCGGAGCGACCTTGCCCAGCGCGGCCGATGCCTCGCCGCCGTGTCGCGGGGCTACGGGGCTCCTGCTGTGCTCCTGTGGCCTTACTTGTGGAGGCGCAGGGTTTGCGCTGCAGCATACGTACGACACAGTTTGAACCCAGGCCATTCTATGATTCTACGATTCTAACTTTTCAGCTGTGCATTTTCACAAGGCAAACCGGCTGTTTCTCGTATGACTGTAGCAGGTGTAGGGGTCGTAGGTCTGACAAGATGCAAACTGAGTGTTTGTGTCTGCGTGTTTCAGGATTATGGTTGCCTTTTTGTATCTTGGCAATAGCACCGATTTTAAAACTTTCACGTCAGGAAGCTTCTTAATGAAGAAGCTGTGCTCCAGCTGCTCGGAAATGCTGAAAGATTAATGATGCTCTTTCTGTACATCTCTGATCATAAGGGAAAGGCAGAGTACGGTTTGAAGTAGGAGCCTATTATGTTTACATCATCAAGTGGAGTTTGCTTAGTATGAGGAGGAGACATTTAAAGAGTTAAAATAGAAGTTGAAATGTTTGTCATACTGTGAAGCCTTGGTGCTAGATCGGCTATCATCACAGCCTCACATTATGTTCCTTAATATTCTCTGACATACATTAGCTCATTTAGCACAGGGCAGTCTTATTTCAGTGTATTCTTAAACATTTTCTGTCATTTGCAAAGTCTGAAGTACAGCTCAAAGTGCAGCTTACTGACAAATGTTTGGATATGCCAAAAAGTCTGGAGGAAACCAGGAAAAATACGAAAATATTCAGAGAAGGAAGAAGGGAAGCTCTTATAAATGAATAAGGATATACAAGCAAACACTGGATACAATACTAAGTTCGCTTGTATCCAGTGTTAGTTGCAGCCATTCTGGCTTCTCTCTTATTAAAAAATATTCAAATTAAAGTAATTCATGCAATTATTGGATAAGGATTCTTTAAAATTAGACAAATCCGTTTTGTTCTTATAATCCAATTTAATTTGTTCACACAAGCAGCAATTTTGGTGAGACCTGTGATTTTCTGTAATTTTCATTTACCAAGGGATCAATCACATATTTGTATATCAGGTGATTATTCCTAAAATGTCTACTTGAATCAGTGCCCACATTGAATACTAAATTACCTGAAATGCATAGGAGGACTTCAGCCTCATCTAACTTGAATAACAGCTTTCCAGATTTCTTTAAAGTACCTGTTTTTCCATCAGCCTGAGGCAGAGAGTACCTGGCGTCGATCTGGAAGCGTTCTTCAAACAAGGTGTGCTCAGTAAAAATTCATTACCACTACCTAAAGGTAAAATAAATAAATAAATAAAATTGTATTTATTTCTACCTGGCTTGCTTAAAGCATTATTACACAACAGACTTCTGATATCGTTGCAAACCTGCTCAGTTACACAGAGCAGTGCTCCCTAACCTTCGCCAGCCGATGCGCAACAACAGTGAGCAATTATGCTGCAGGCAGCATCTTTGTATTGGCCTCAGTTTTAACATTTTTATTTTCTGAAGCTGCAGGCAATCTCAGAGGGTCTGGCAGGGAACGCATTACCCATGAGCCCTGACTCAGAAACCGCTTCTGTAGAGTTCCAGTATTATGTCAAGAATATACAAATTTACCCTACCTCCCATTTCTTTGATTAAAATACATATGGTATCCCACTAAACTGGCTGCCCACAAGGTTTGTTCAGCCAATCCTTGGATATCATGGTAAGAAGACAGTCTACCTGGCTTCCAAAAATAAATAACATGATTTGCAATCATATAATAGTATGCTGGCTTGATTTAAGTTGTGGATTTTGTTGACTTACTAATGGTGGAGAAGCCCTGATAGCAGATCCAGCCACTCTCCAGCAACTGGGGGCCTGAACAGAGAGGTGAAGAAAGCCTGTGCTGAAAGAGGGTGTCTTTGTAGCAGAATTTGGCAAAAGATGAAGTTGTGATTTTTATAACCTATGTTTCTTAGCTGTGTGAAGGTGATGTGCATTAGACAAATTTAGCAATCTCCTGTTTGGCCAGGCAATAGACCTGTCTAAAAATGTCATGTTATCATAGAATCATGAAGGTTGGAGAAGACCTCTAAAGATTCAACTGCAATCCATCCCCACCATGTCTGTCAGTGCCATGACTCCATGACTCTTAACACCTCCAGGGATGGTGTCTCCATCACCTTCCTGGGCAAGTGCATCCCAATGCCTCACCACTTTTTCTGAGAAGTTTTTCTTACTATCCATTGTGAACCTCCCCTGGCACATCCCGAGGCCGTTACCTCTCCACAGTTCTCTCAGTTGAGAAAAGCGTAGCTGGAGAATATACATAATTAGCTTTTGTGCAGAAATGAAGGCATTGCCCCTGGCTTGTGTGTGTTTTTCTCTAATGAAGCAACTACTTGCTTAGCCCCAGCCACATGAAGGGTACAGCTGACATGCAGCACCACACTCGGTTTGAGCCATTAATGTGGTTGGCTTTACCATGTGTGTTGCAGCAGGGCTGGACAGCTGCAGTAGTTACTGCAAAGCCAAACTGAACTGTGGGAATACTGAGCTCAACATGAGGGTCCGTCAGCAAACTTGGTCTCACAGACCCTCCAACACACTCAGCAGCAAAGTCCCCATGGAAACCTCTCATTTCATACATAATGCCCGTGCAGCTGTGTCCGTGGCCTGCCACCATCCCAGCACTGGACTGGTGTGCAGCAGAGAGGGGCAGGTCAGCGACTGGGTGCTGCTGACACATCTTTATTTTTCACTTAATTTGCTCTATTTTGGGAAGCACTGCACTGCTTAGAACATAAGTTTAAGGGCTAATGAGTTTTAGACGTAATGCACTGGTCTGGATTTGAAGGGTGACATGGGTGAGTCAGATTTTAAAGGTTTTCAGAAAAGTAAAAATGCAAATTAGGCATTTAGTAAAAAATCTTCAGTTAGTTCAATAGGAGTTATATGTCAGACCACTCTTAAAGATCCCAATAGGCATCCTTAAGCATTTGGATACCTTAATAAGCTGCATCTTCATCTTTTTCATTGTTCTGCTCTGTATTTGTAAAATGTTGATAGTATTTCTAGAGCACAGAGGTGTTTTATGAGGATAAATTGCTGTAAAAAGGCTAAGCGTACCAAATATGTAATATAATCATAAAGAGAATTCATATGGACCTCATATAAATAGTCAAATGAAAACCTTGTTTGTCATATGGACATTTGAGAACAGCTCCTCAAGGTCACTTCATGACACCAGGTAAAGCCAACAGCAATTGCTGCAGATGAGGAATCACAGAATCATAGAATGGCTTGGGTTTGAAGAGACCTTTAAGGTCATCTTGTTCCAATCTCCCTGCTATAGGAGGGACACCTCCCACAAGACCAGGTTGCTCAAAGAATGGAGCAAACATTGGAATAAAAATTGCGTGACTGAAGGAATTATAGCAATTTGTAACAAAAACAGGAAGGCAGGAAATCTGAATGATGACACCAATAATTATTAAAATAGAAGTTAAGACCACAAAAGTTGCACCTCTTTCTGGACTGCTTCTCTAATAGGTTTCCCTTGCAACTTCTTAACTGAAAAACATGGTGGAGCATGAATCAGAACGGCCAAAAAGGTCATGTATGTCTTTGTACACAGCTGGACTTTTTAAAAAGATGGATGCTTTGGAAAAAAAAAAAATTCAAGAGGAATAGATACATTGCTTCAATTTAGGATAGAATAGATATGGCATAGAAAAGAGAGAGAAAGTGAACCGTTATTGCTGGTTTGAACTAATGTTCTGCCCTTGGTCTGCCAACATGAATCGGCTGCATGAGTTGGAATTAGCATTTCATTCTCATTAGTTTGACTGTGTCAGTGTTGAAATCAACCTTAAAGCTTTGCTGTTGTTGCTTTTCTCCTGTATAGGTGCGTTTTTTGTGTGGCGGGGTTTTTGTTTTTTAAGCAAGGACAACTTTGCAGAGCAGTGCAGTGGTAGGCTGCCACTGTTCTGCACAGACCTGATGAATTTCTGCACTGCCTTTTGTTACAGTGTTTTGCCAACTTCGCAATGACGTGCTGGCTGCCTACCTTCTACTGACTGCTAGATGCAGCAACAAAGTGCTTAATACATAGTTACCTCATGTTTGCTGATACTGAGTATCACTAAAATTCAGTCACATAAATGAAAAGTATAAAAGCTGCCTTACATAAAAATACATGGCCTGAGAATATTCTACAGACTGAGTTTTTCTTCCCCTAGTTAAGATATAGAAAGATGCAACCTTTGAAAACTTAAAGTAAAAGGTTTGAAAAGGTCAGAGAAAGCTGTTATGAGCTTAAGGATTGAGAGAGAGAGAAAAAAAAAAAGACATTTATAAAGATAAGAAATATATAAAAAGTCTGGGCCATTAATCATAATAAATTTTCTTTAATGTCACAGTGAGTGGAATAATAAATAGAAAGTAAATTTTCCTATCTAAAAAGTTTTCTATCCTTCCTACTTGAAAGTTGGCTAATAGATGCTGAAACAGAAAAGTGGTGAATGTTGTGAATATAAGCATGGCCATTAGGCATAATGTATGCCATGGGTCATAAGAAGGAGGTCAGTACTGTACCATGTCAGAAAGTCAGAATTCGCTCTTTGACTTAAAAATAGTTGACAATCAAGAAACTAAAATGTGAGCTTTGAAACGTGGTGGATATTTAAGGTGCAACTTATGAGGATGCAGTTATGTTCTTGTAGAGGGATTTAAGAATCTCATACTTCTACAAATAATGTAGCGATTGATGCTATCAACTTCAGGAAGGACAAAAGGGCAAAGAAACAAAAGGGCCTCACAGGATGAACTGTGGCCTCCCAGCTTCCAGTGGAATGTGAGAAAGTTTTTTTTTGTGGAGATCATTCTAGGGGACTGATTCCTCCATTGGAAGCTGATCCTTCGTGTATTTCTGCTCTTCAGAAGAGAAGAGAATGCAAACAGGATGTGTAGTTCACCAAATAAAGCAAGATTCTTTATATGGAACTATATTTCAGGAACATAAAAAGTAGCAGGGTTTCATCAAGATAGTAAGTACGTACAGGTTTATGTAGATAAATGCATAAAACATTTACAGAGTTGTAATGAGTCAAACTCATGAGTAAAACTTCCAATGTTTTTGATTTTACTCATTGTGAGGCATTGTTTGCCATGTTTTTTACCTTATTTTCACCCTGAAAAATGAATATAAAATGCTGCCACTCAAAATTGATCATATTCTGTATGTTCTGTCAGTACAAAACAGCCACTGACAATGTCAAATGAACAGCAAAGTCCAAGTTCTTTGAATTTCAAGAACCAAAGTACAGTTTCAGGATTTTTTTTAAAAAAGCAGTGCAATGCATTTATGTACTTTAAACTGAAAGCATGAATTCTTTTTCTTTTCTGAAAAGTCATGAGCGAGTTTGCAGAAGGTAAATGTAACTCTTTCCTGTTGATTATATTGAGATTCTCTGCTAGTTTAATTCCATGTAAAGAAATAAGCAATCAAAGATTTTCCTGTGCTACTGGAAAAGCTTCGTACCTGGATATCCTGGGAAATTTGTTTGAAACAGGTCACTCTGAAATTTGAAACATAGTGCAGAAAAGAGCAAATCTTATGTTGAGGGAAAAGGAACTGTGTGCTTACTAATGGCCTGATAGCTTTAATTGTTTCTTTGCAAAATAAAGAAGAAAGTATGGAGAACATGAATGAAAATGAAGAACAGATAAATTACTACAGTTCAAGATAAAGGTTTTACTTTAATACAACTACTTAGAGATAAATAATTTTGTTACTTCCTCAGGTAACCTGGAGATGTGTAGATATTTCACCTAAAATTTATGTTCCAGAAACAGGAGAAGGAAGACTACAAAGATCATCTACATTATTAAGTATGATCTTGAATTTCGGTGAGGTTGGAACATAGTCAAATTATACACTGTTCAAATATGAAAGACCCCCTTCATTACCAAAGTCATTTTCCTTTTTTAATGGTGCAAAACTACCTCAAGGTGTCCCTTTGCTCTTAACATGAGGATGGAAATCCGTTGAGGTGTTCTGTAGTGCTCTGACAAATATTTGTGCCATTGCTCTCTTGTGGCTGCCCTTGGATTGCTTTGGGGAGGAGCCGTATGATAGAAAGGAGAAAGGTGGCCTTCTAGCTCTTCTTGACCTCTGCATCTACATCCAAAATAGGTATGGAATGCAAGAGATTTCTAGGGCTTCCATTCCCATTGTGTTTTTACTTCTCACTTACATAGGAATTATATTTAACTTATGCTGTTTACAGTATGCATTCACAC